CTCAGGGTGACTACAGTCGTGGTTTCCGATCGGATGTTTTGGACAGTCATACAACGTAGACTCTGTTCCACTGCATTGGACTTCGTCAAGCAATATTTTCCCACTTCCTTGACCAAAATGTGCTTGAGAATAGGCAGTTCCGCCACTAAAATTAAATAAGTTTTATAAAATTGCATACACTCCAGCTATTCTGAATTCAACTTCTAAATAATAATGCTTTTATATCAATGAGGGATGGAATGAAATGGAAACTTTTTTTTTATTATGCAGATTTTTACACGTGCTCATTAATCACAGAATATTTATAACTATTGAATATTTAATCAAGGACTATGAGTAAAAGTCACTACAATATATACATGTATATATATATATATATATAGTTTTTAATCTACTTTTTAATGAAATCCGGCGGCGCGGTTTGTATCCAGATAGCTGTGGCTGAGAAGTCTACAGTATAGTATGTGATTTATTGGAGAAAAGGTGGATTAAACAGGTCTACTGATTTCATAGTCATGTTTTTTTCTTCACTGGAGACAAATAGCTGTGCCCTTATGTAGGCCAGGATTTCCTCTGATATTCTTGACACCATCACAGAATGCACTTATAAGTAATAAACAACGATTATTCAGTGTACATGGCGTTATGAATAGCAATACATGTAGCTCTGCCGGCATATTTTCCATATGCACACGCGCGCATCATGGAATATGCCAGCATAACATATTGCTATTCATAACGCCATGTTCACTGAATAACGTTGTTTATTTCTATATATGTGTAATCAGTTAACCGGTTACTCCGTCGGAACGATCCTAATGTGTAATCGGTTGGTTAGAAAAAAAAAAATAAATCTGAACTAATTTCATTAAAACTCAACAGAAAAAATATAAAAATATCTTAAATGTTAGCATTTTCACCTAGCTATTTAATAAGCTGATTCGAATATAATTTAGGCTCTCTAGACTGACATCGTGGGATTAATTGGTCAGTTTTCGAGGTGTCAATAGCTGTTGAAACACCACGACGTTATCCAAGCTGTTCTGTGCTTCTTTAATGATTTTAACTAAATGATTGTTCAGTACTGCGAACTCAATATAATGTGTACCTGACCTTTTCTATCCTTTGCAGTTACCAAACAAATTATATTATTAAACAAAAATTGCAAATAAGTGATATTTCAGACTTAGTTTCGATTATGGTGACAATGTAGAATGAACATGAGTGACATCATTACTGTCTTTTTTTTATGTCACTGGTACTTAAGGCATGTCTCATTGTTTCTTTTTTATTTTATAATTATTATTTTTTTTTTCTTGTATGAAAATTAAAAAAAAGTATATATATCTGAAAACAATAAAAGATAACTATATGTAACATCTTTACTAAAGACTTGTTTGTTTAATTTGAGCTTACAATAATGATATATATCAAATCTAGTAGTGTGCATCATTCAGGTAGGTCTTAACGGTACTAAGGAATGCACCTTCTCTAAAAATTTCTAATATTGTTGCCCAAATTCCCAAAAGGACAGAAGGTATATAGTTTTAGGAAACTCAACATATTCAAGGAAGAATTTTGGGCATGTCTGCGCTCAGCCTAACCTTTATTTTTTTTTTAAAGAAGGTACGAACAACCGACCCCTTTCTTTACTATACACGGTATTTAAAACTATTCATATATCATTGACAGCCTGATGACCAGTTAAATATTCTTATTTATTACATACTTGGTAAAACATACATTTTTTTTGCATATATGTGATATACCTGACTTCAAAATATCAGCTTCTAGGGCTGATACAGATCCTGCAGGGCTGAAATGTGTCCGTAGGTCTGATACGGATTTATATCACACCCCTAGTAGATTACACCTTAAAAAACAGTACTTGTGAAATTACACCTATTTTTCCCTATTTTTTATGGCCCCGTATCAAAGATTCGGGGCATATAGTTTTTGCCCTGTCTGTCTGTTTGTCCGCAAAAACGTTACCTTGGCCAAAATTTTTGATTGGTTGGAGCTATGGTTTTCATATTTCACATTTATATTCCTTTTGAGAAGAAATTTCTTTGGGTACCAACATATTTGACCTCTTGACCTTGACCTTAGAGTTTGACCTACTTTTGCAAAATTTGCCACACTTTAACATAGGGAATAACTTTTGAAGAGTTAGTGTTTTCTAACTTCATATGTGTATTCCTTGTGATAAAGACTTTCCTTGGGTATAAATATTTTTGCCCTTTTAACCTTGACCTTGGAGTTTGACCCACTTTACAAAAACTTTAACCTTGGCCATAACTTTTGAACGGTTAGATTAGGGCTTTCATATTAAACTTGTGTATTCCTTTATAAAACCTTCCCTTAGGTACCAACAATTTTGACCATTTGACCTTAACCTTTCAGTATGACCTACTTTTGAAAAAAAACGTTAACCTTGGCAATAACTTTTGAACAGTTGGTGCTAGGGCTTTCATATTTCACAGGTGTATTCCTTAGGATGAGTGAAATATATGGAGATAACGAACAGTATTCAAGCTCAAAAGTCCATTAAACATTACAAAATAGGAGCAGAGCAAACACTGACCTCCAAAACATCAGAGGCGGGATCAGGTGCCATGGAGGAGTGAGCATCTCCTGCCGATCGGTCATTATGAAAAACGTCAGTCAGCATTTAACTCAATGACAAATTGTATTTGCTGACAAGGTCATTGTATCGACCATAGAACTTACGAAATGATAACTTTAAACGAGACTGCTGATATTCTTGTTTCATCAACTTGTTTGTCAATAATTTACCTCGTTTTAGAAAATGTACATGCGTAGAGCATGCTCTTGCGTATCGAATCAACTGACAGATACAAACCCCGTATGCAGGTGATGAAGGTATATTGCTGCATAAGTAAGGGAAGTTGACGATTGAAAAGTTAAAGTCATCACGTTTATCATAAAACTTGGTTGTAAGATTACCATTAACGTCTTTTTCAAGTAAAATATCCAAATATGAAACAGATGTGTCAGACTGTGAGGTATCTTTTATCTTAAGCTCACTGGGATATATATCGAGTCGACATATGAATGGAAATAACCACTGTTAATTGACAATACGTCGTCGATGTATCTAAATGTCGAGTTGAAGGCCACAGCAAGTGTTTCCTTCTTTTCACGTATAAGATTTTGGACAAATTCTGCTTCATATGAATACAAAAAAGGTCTGCTAATAACGGGGCGCAATTGGTACCCATGGGAATTCCAATAGATTGTTGGGAGACCTGGTCTCCAAAAACCACATAGATATTGTCAGTCAGAAACTCAAGCATCTTTTTAATGTCAACTTCAGAGTACCTGTGTGTACAATCAGAAGGTTTTTAAACAAAATAATTTTGCAAAGGACCAATGACAAGGTAAGTAAGTTTACGAGTTCCATTTTTATTGAAAAAGCAGCTGTCAATGATATCAAAAAGCGTGGACTTCAATTTATCGCGGGGAATGGTTGTGTATAAAGTTGAAAAGTCGTGAGTTTTTAAGCTGTTGATTTTGGTAAAAATCTTGTGATTTAAAATTTTCCAAAAGCTCCCTTTGGTACCAACAATTTTTACCTTTGGCATTGACCTTGGTGTTTGACATACTTTTGAAAAACTTTAACCTTGGCAATAAATTCTGAACAATTGGTGCTAGGGATTTCATAATTCACATGTGTTTTCCTTGTCACAAGACCTTCCCTAAGGTATCAACAATTTTCATTTGTTTACCTTGACCTTGGGAGTTTGACTTGCATTTGATAAACTTTAACCTTCACCATGAGCTGCCATACGAGGGCATCAGTGTTTCACAAACACACCTCGTTTTTATTTCATTTTATTTTTTTCTGGTTCACATTCTTTTAATATTAAATTACCATTCTGGCCTGGCTGATATTGGTGTCTCGGACTGATACAGCATGTGATATGGAAAAGGGTATGTATTTTTCTATATTTATACCGTAATTTGGAGACCTGGGTAACTGTGAATACAAAAAAAAAAAAAAAAAAAAAAAAAAAAAAAAAAAGAAAGAAAAAAGAAAAATAAATAAAATCATATGGATTCAACTCCGGTTAAAATTTCGACTAAAGCAACCAAGTCGAACTGTTTCTGTGGTATACGTGAGTTCAATAACATGGTCTACGTCATATTACCCATAAAAATTCTGCACTTTAAAGTATCAGTTCAGGTACCTTAGCGATGAAACACAAAGGAGCTTGATGTGAGATGCTGACCTTCTTCCCAATAATTTTTTACCATAAAATAATATTAAGTGCATGGCATTTTTTATTTAAATTGAATTTATATATAGTTCCAAATTAATTTCAACGTATCCACGCCACGGTTTTTGGGTACGATAGCAGGTCGGACACTGGTGTGTGATAACATCCCAATTTATTTTTAGAGAAAGAAACTACATGTATATTAGACCTGAAACAAAATAAATTAGTTATTAATCTGTAAACGTTATGCTTCTAGATTTTCTGGACTAAACTTTCGAGAAAAAAAAATAGTTATAATAATAAAACCGGAATTCACCAAAGCTCTCCAAAATGGAACTCATGGATTTAAAAAAAAAAGATCTGCTAAGGAAAGAGAGCATCCCTCAAATATCCCAAATTCCTATTTTCTGAAAATCGTGATGACATTGTGATTCCCCGTAAAATATATACTCGGTGTTCCATGAGCGATCTTCACTGGATATGCACCGCCTACTCCATAAATTAAAAAAGTAATTCTAAAATCCAATTCGGGTGGGAGCAACATTGCGGACATAATGCCTCTAAAGGGAGCATTTTAATTACCTTAAATAAAACTATTAACACAATTTCAAGTGAAACTTTTCTGAAGCGTTGTACCATACAGACAATGCATAACGTGTGAAATAATTCACTAAAAGTGATATATTGATATATCATATCATTCATATCAGAGGGGTAGTGAAAATATCATTGTTAATGAAAAATTGTTTTACCTATAACCAAGCATTCTGCAGACCACTCTGGCGTCGTTATCATCCCACATGTCATCACAGATTGTTCCCCAAACCCCAACATAAAAAACTTCTACCCTTCCACATTTAGTGATAAAAGGATGCATCAAGCGGACCTGAACTAGAAAGTAAAGAAAAAGAATACTTAATGCTGCATTAACATATTATTTCCTTATTGTAACTGAAATCATACAAAATAGAATTTTTTGACATTATTCCAGACATGTTAATATTGATAATAAATGTTACATGTACATGAAAAAAAAGTACTCACATGTAGCTTTCACAATTGTCGATAGAAGCGTTAATGAAGTAGAATAAGATTGGTATTGTGATTGAATTGTGGCAAGCTGTACATTTTGAGTTGAGTCTGAGTTGGTGAGTGCTTGAACTGAGTTTTTAACACTGGATATACTTCCGGTTGCAGTGGACATACTACTGGAAAGAGAGTTTATGTCTTGTTGGACTGAATTTAGGGTTGTACGTAAAGAGATCAGACTGTTTTCTGTGTTTACCACTTTCACTGAAAGTGTCATGTTTATTGCAGATAAACTTTGGATAACTTCAGAAATATTACTATTTGTTGAATTTATTGTCCTTATGCAATTCCTCTGTCCATTTGCCACTTAATTTAGGGTTAAACTTAACGAGTTGAGACTGTTTTCTGTGTTCATAACTTTCACCGAAAGTGTCATATTTAGAGCAGATAAATTTTCGAAATTTTGGAGAAAAATCTCCTTTTGTTGAATTAATTGTCGTCATGCAATCTCTTTGTCCTTCTGCCACTGCCACTTCTAAATTATCTTCAATTACAGATAAATTCCTTTTAAGCAATTCAGCATTGTTTTCTGATTCATCTAATTTGATGCCAAAACTTTTCATTTTTGCTCTACATTCTTCGTATATATAAGGAATGGAATGAAGTTTGCATTTATCGTTAGTAGCATTTATCCCTCTTTCAATTTTCAATGTCATCTCGTTTTCGGTGTTCTGAACAGTATTATTAATATTAGATTGTATCGAGGATATATCTTGAAACATTTGATTGAGGGATTCAATATTCCTTGAAATATTTTAGCTCTTTCAAAACTTGTATATTCGCTTTTGTTGAGTCTGTTTTCTACATTTTCCACTCCCTTGTTTAGCCTTGCAAATTGATTTCTAAGTTCGAATACGTCATGCTGCAAACTGCTTTGAATCAAGTCAATTGTAGACGTTAGAGTTGACTCAATGTTCTGAATTCTCGTTGAAATATTACTTATTTCACTGTTCAATAAAGTTGAACGCTTTTAGAGAATGTTTGTCACAGTAGTTTGGGATAATTCGAGGTCTTGAATTCTCGTGGAAATATTATTTATTTCACCAAATATAAACTTGTGTTGGTCATCGAAAGTCTGAACGAGTTGCAATGATTTTTGCTCTAAAGAATGCTGAACGTAGTTATGAAAGTTTTCAAAATCTTCTTTCATTTTATTCTCAAATAAAGATCTTCCACCATTTTCCAAATATTGTTAAACGTCCGAATCTGTTGCAGTTCATAATTTTTCGTTTGCTTACAGTCCCCTTCAAAGATCATCTGTGATTTACCCAAGGAATAGGTGTAAATTGTGGAAATAGCAAAGATGAAAATTGTTGTCTCCATTATATCCCATTATATCCCTAAGTATGTCACCCAACGACTAATAAAATTGTTTGAAGCAATTGTGTTATATACATTAAAAGGGATGCGTTCATATTTTTGGGGATTTCTTTTATGTTTTTGATAACAACGCATTTAATGATTCAGTTCGTACATGTATATGTATCACGCCTATTTTCATGTAGGAACCCCCCCCCCCCCCAAATAAATTCATTTTTCAATTCGAATAAGCAGAGCTAATTTAAATGAGCAAGCAAAGCATGTCATTGGTCAAGTTTTGTTTATCTGAACTCTTAAAATAACGTATAGAACTTTTGTTACAGTTTATAATGAACTAAAAAATCTTTGTGTATTGCTTATTCTGACTTAAAAAAACTTCCTGTTTAGAAAAAATATATATGTGTCTTTACAGAATGACTGAAAATTTTTTTTCATATTTAGCTGGAAGAAAAACTTCCGACTTTAAGAATATTTTGACTAAATATATATCTTTTTTGTTGCGATAATAATTAAAAGATATTGACATTTTAATTTGTTGATTCATCCCTTTAATATATTTCAGTATTAATATTTCCCTTTGGTTAAAATTTATGCTGTAAGTCGCATGTATCTCAATTGAATGTTCATTTGGACTATGATAATGTTTCAGAAATTATTTTTATTACGAGGAAGTCTTTTCAAACACTAATTGTAACATTATTTATAGAAATAAATGCTTTTTGCTGGTAAGTTAATAAGTAAATAAATATAATGTTACTTTAGAATTTTAATATTAATCAGAAAGTCCTCCTTCAATGTTTATGTCTGAAATATTGCAAGGTGTAACATGACAAATGTTATTTCGTTCCATGCTTTAGAAGAGGCAGATATTGACGAGTAAAATTGTTGCTGGTGTGCTCAGAAAACCCTCGAAATTTTTCTAATTCCCCTAGCAAAATTCGTTACTTTATGTCCGAAAATTTTCAATACCCATGCACTTTTGTGATCACTAAATAGTGTAATGACTGCATATCGTCTAAATTCTTTATAATTGTTTTACAACTTATTTTGCATGTTCCAAAAACATAGTTTATCCAGGAGCGATTTTTCATATCAAAATATGGGGCATTTGTGTTTTACAAATTGTGTTAACTCATGTTGTTTTCTCTTAATTTATTTTACGTGTTAGAGAAATTGTGCACAATGTTGATTTATTGGAATATGAAAGGTTCGCACAATCAAACTAGGAGAGTCGTGGTAGGCGTTTATTGGCAGATCTACAGGTTTGATATTTGTTTTTTTTTTTCAGTATTGATACTGATTTTTCTAAATTGGTTTCAAAACACACCTACGATTTGGAAAATTTACTTCATTTACCCAGAAATTATTCCAGGAAACTTCATAATTTTCTTGTATCCTTTTCAAAACGCACATGCCCATAGCAGTAAGGGGGCTCAACAAAAAGGAGTGCGCATACTCCTGGGTTAATTCTACGCTCCCTGTTCTACTGTCCTGTCTTAGGAAATATTGCCTGTAGATATTGATGTATTAAAAAAAAGCATATCTACAAAGCTTAATTTTTTCTATAGTTAGTATTCTTTCCTTTATTTTATGTATCTCAGAATTCTTTTACTTTTTTTTTGAAAAATATTTTTGAATCAGAACATCCGAATGAATATTTGATATCAAATATGTAGCCTCCTTTACATTAACGACAGCCATTTTCTCAAAGTTTATAAAGGATCTTGTATAGTTGTGTTTTTATTGCAACTGAAATCTATTCCTTGATCCCTGATATTCATTTAATTTAAAATTTATTTAAAATGAATTATTTACTTTATTGCTTAGAATTTGAAAAAACAAATTGCTTCCATTTGAAACTCGGGTAGACTGAAACCCGCTCCTTCAACAAGAACATGATAAAAATTCTAAACTGTACGCAAAATTTATTTGGCAGTTAAGAACAAACACAACAATATACAATATGCGCATGTATAATGATATAGAAAAAAAGAAGAAAATGTTTCATCTCCTGAACTGTATAATCATGGAAAGATCTTAATGATTGTAAAAAAGATTTGAAAGTTAAATAGATATGATAAAATTACAGGTAATAATGACGTTTACATATTTCACAATGAAATAAATGTGTACCATTCTGAGTCCAATGTATACCTTCATATGTTTTTCATACAGTACACATTTTTGTTTCTCAGTTTTGTAGGTTGTGAAGATTGTGATATATTGAAAACAGGATATATATATATATATATATATATATATATATATATATATATATATATATATATATATATATATATATATATATATATATATATATATATATATATATATATATATATATATATATATCTATCGGGTGTACTCTGGTGAAGTGCGATTTCCATAATTGAACGAATTAATTATCGCTAATTAATTGCGACCAAGCAGTAAATCGTACGTACATAGTCTTATTCTCTCAAAATAGCTTAACTATATATGATAAAAAGAAATTAAAGAAAGATAATATGGATTTTTAAAAATGAATTTGGATATATTATAAATTTGGAAATCGGATAAAAGAAATAAACAAAAATGTAAGCTTATGCTAATGCGAATTAACGGTAAAGTTTACACTATATAGAGAGAATGAACTTGTTTGTTACAATTCGGGATTGGTCTAGTTCACTTTCATCCTGGTGAAGTCATTGAGTTTGTTAATACCATTAGGGCGGAATGACTTCAGCCTGTGCATCCAGAACTTTTCCTTGCCTTTTCTCTGAGCGTCTGTCCATCTTGGATTATGGTCAATAACCACTACTGTCATGTCTTTTCATTTGTGTCCGTCAAGGTTGAAATGTACCCCAACGGGTTCATTGAGTTTTTGGTCCTTATGGTAGAACGGTGATTATTGACTCTCCTGCGGAGATCTCCTGTTTCACCAACATACTGTTTGGAGCAAATTTGCAACTGCTGAGATAAATGCAGTTGTCTGTTTGACAGGACAAATTCCCTAGTATTTTGTAGCTGCGGTCTGTAACGGGGCTGTTAAAGCTGTCTGTGTCAGAGCTGTGCTTACAGAGAAGACATCTTCTGTCAGAGCAAGTTTTAAAGCCCCCGTTAGGTAATGGATTGTCCAATCTGGTTCTTACTTCCATGTCCTTTTGGTTCCTCGGGCGTCTGTATGCAGCCAATGGGGGCTCCTTAAAGACCTCTGCCATTCGTTTATTTGAGTGGAGAATTGGCAGATTCTTTCGAAGGATACCGCTGAGGTTCTTAAGGACGGGATGGTATGTGGTTACCAGAGGGACCCTGCCGCTATTGTCTTTTTCCTTGTAGCGTAATAGGTTTTCCCTGTCACGTCTCGCCATCTCATCAATAGCAGTTTGTACGGTGCGGGCATTGTAGCCTCTCTTGCAAAAGTGGGACTTGAGGAGACCGCTTTGTTCCTGATATAAGGCAGGGGATGAACAGATGCGCCGAATTCTGGTGGCTAGACCCTTAGGCACACCCTTAAATGTGTGTGGGGGATGACAGCTAGTTGGCATAAGATACAGATGGGAATCTGTGGGTTTCGTGTGGAGACTGAACTCGATTTCATCATCAGTCAGGGTAGATGTAGTATCTAGGAATATGTTTTTCGAATTAGATACGTCTACTGTAAATTTGATAGACTGATGAAAGATGTTGGCAAACGAAATGAATGCCTCGAGGCTCTCGCGACATTCCACCCACTTCATCTCTATATCGTCAATGAAACGCAACCAGCTAAGGGGCCTAAATGGTGCTTGAAGTAGCAAGTTGCGTTCAAGTCTGCCCATGAAAATATTGGCATAAGATGGTGCCATTTTCGTACCCATAGCAGTGCCATTAACCTGCAGGTAATGTTCTCCATTAAACATGAAGTTGTTATACTTG